GGAAGCTTTGAAAGGTACAGTTGAGAATGGCACATATTGCAATCACTTTGTGCTGGACTTCAGCAAAACATTCGACCAGGTTCTGTATGGTAGACTGATTAGTAAGGTTAAATCACATGGGATTGAGGGAGAAGTTGCCAAGCTTCTAGTGTGCATGGTCTGCCCTTGTAACTGCAAAGTTAAGAATGGGATTCCACCCTGTGCAATCAGAGATCATTCCTACTTCTGGTCTCTGATAGAAGGCAGATCATTGATGAACCAGCTAATGATGGTTGGGCTAGGACATTAAGAATGAGCACAGCCATCTTGCATTGTGATAGGTATAACTGTGAATAGAGAGTTATTTCCTTGATTTTGAATTGACCTTGAGCACCTTTATGCCTCATTTGATCAAACACTTAATTGACATGTACTAAATAATGAGGGACCTTTTTTTTCCTGGAGGAGAGGCACAGATTTAAGGTGATTGTTGGAAAGATTAGAAAGGAAATCTTTTAACCCAGAGGATGGTAGGGATCTTAACTGTGGTCTCAGTTTGATGGTTAAGGCAGAAGCCCTCAACTCGTTTAAAAGGAATCTGGATCTGCACTTGTGATGAGCTGTCTTCTTGAACCACTACAGTCTATGGGCTGTAGGTAGACCCAACAATGCCATCCAGAACTTTCTTTGTTAACCACGGTTGATCTTTTTTGAGTTTTTGCTATTACAATAATAGCAAGCTTTCTATGAGCAGTGGCAGAGAACTCATTCCGAATGAGACACGGTGTGCGTCTCTGGAAATTTGGAGCATAGTGGGAATTCAGTGCAGAGGGAAATGATGGATTTTCCTTTTGCTTTTTTTTTTGCGGCTTACAGTGTGTAAAGATTACGTTCTACAGAAACAAGGACGAGGGAATAAGGGCCCAAGAGAAGTTGATATTAATTGAAAAGGCTCAATTTAAAGGGTAAGTCATGACAGAAAGCTGAAAACTGTGTTCTTCCTGCTCTGTGTAGGAAGTCAGACACCGTTCTAGTGTCCGGGACCAGCATATGTGCAGAAAGTATCTCCAGCTGCAGCTCCTAGAAACCCAGACTTCAGAACTGGAGCACTGGTTAGGATTACTGTGTAGTATCCGTGAGATGGAAAGTATCATGATAGCATATGTAGGGAGGGTGTCACACCACAAACTAAGACTTCATGGACAGGGAGGGAATGGGTGATCACCAGGAAGAGCAATAGGATCAGGCAGGCAGTGTAGGAGTTTCCTGTCACCATTCCCCTGCAAAGCAGATACATTGCTTTGGATACTGTTGAGGAAAATAGCCTCTCAGATGAAAGCAGTAACAGCTACATTCATTGCACCATGGTTGGCTCTGCTGCAAAGGGGAAGAGTAAAGCGTACTGGAATGCAACAGCAACAGGGGATCCAATTGTAAGGGAACAGACAGGTGGTTCTGAGACCGCAAATCAGACTCCAGGATGGTATGTTGCCTCCCTGGTGCTAGGATCAAGGATGTCTCCAAGCTGCTACAGGATATTCTGGAGGGGAACGGTGAACAGCCAGTAATCATGATACACATTGGTACAAATGACGTATGTAAAAACAGAGAAGATGTCCTAAAATCAAAATATAGGGAAGTAAGTTGAAAGGTAGGGTCTCAAAGATAGTTGTTAAGTTTTGCTTAATTAGCTGGGAACCAGGAATTGTACACAAGGGAGGCGCAGGTAAAATCCTGAAGAGGAATACTTTATTTTAAACACAAACAAAAACAGAAATTGCTGGAAAAGCTCACCAGCTCTGGAAGCACCTGGGGACAGAAATCAGAGTTAATGTTTTGGGTCGAGTGATCCTTCTTCAGAACTGAGGAGTTTTGCTGAACCCGAAAAATTAACTCTGATTTCTCCCCACAGATGCTGCCAGACCTGGTGAGCTTTTGCAGCAATTTCTGTTTTTGTTCCTGATTTATAGCATCCGCAGTTCTTTCAGTTTTTAACACTTTTATTTTAGATGCTCACACCTCTACAGCTGGCTCTAGACTGAACCCCCAGCTCTGCGCCTCACGAGTCAGCTGACCAGTTCTCTTAAAGGAGTAGCACCCCAACTACAAACATAACAGTAGTGATCTCAGGATTAGTGCCAGTGTCACATGCTAGTCAGAATAGAAATAGCAGGATATATCAGATGAACACATGGCTGAAGAGATGGTGAGATGGGCCTGGTTCTGGGTGAGGGGGGAATCAATACAAACTGGACAGATTACACCGGGGCAGGACCAGGACGGATGTCCTTGGGGATGTATTTCGTAGAGTGGTTGGGGAGGTTTTAATCTAAAATGGCAGGGGTGTGGGAACCTATACAATGAGTCAAAGGAAGGGAAATCAAGGGCAAGAACAAACGGTGAAGAAGGGGAATAAGACAAGTGATAGGAAGAGAAATCAAGTGCCAGGATCAATTGGAGCCACAGTGAAAAATAATGGGAACAAGACAAGTAATGTAAAAACAGTGAGGCAGGATATTAGCTCCAATGATGTGAACTCTGTATGAATAGAGCTGAGAAACAGCAAGAGGCAAAAAACGTTGGTCAGAGTTGTGTATAAACCCCCACAGTGCAGGGGTGATGTTGGGAATGGCATTAAACAGGGAATTAAGGATACATGCAAAAAAGGAACATTTGTAATTATGGGTGACTTAATCTGCATAAAGATTGAGCAAATCAAATTAGCAACTAGAGAAGGAATTCTTTGAATGTATGTAAGATGGTGTTGTGGACCAATATGTTGAGGAATCAACAAGACTGGGTATTGTGTAATGCAACAGCACTCTAATTGTGTGAGGCTCCCAGGGGATGAGCGGCAATAATATGAGAGAATTCCTCATTAAGATGAAGAGAGACCTACTGGATTCTGAGAATAGGGTCCTGAATCTATTGAGAGGAAACTTAAGGTGAGGTGCGAGTTGGCTGTGATCGATTGGGGACATTATTTAAAGTGGTGATGGTGGAAAGACAACGGCAAACATTTAAAGGGCGCATGGATAGTGAGGAAAATGCTACGGTCAATTATAAAATATTTAATAGCTGAGCAGTTGGAAAACAGTGACAGGATTAGACAGATTGAGCACAGATTTACAAAAAGGAAATCATGCTTGACAAATCTATTGGAATTCTTCATGAATGTAAGTCATGGAGTTGATGAGTGGGCAAATGCATGGCAGAATGGGGAGGTAATGGCCTTGTGGTATTATCACTAGACTAATAACCCAGAGACCCAAGCAACATTCTGGGGTTCTGGGTTCAAATCCTGCCATGGCAGATGGTGGAATTTGATTTCAGTAAAAAAAATCTGGAAGTAAGAGTCTAATAATGTTCATGATTGTTGGAAAAACCCACCTGGTTCATTAATGTCCTTTGGGAAGGAAACTGCCAACCTTACCTGGTCTGGCTTACATGTGACTCCAGACCCCAAGCAATGTGGTTGACTCTTAAATGCCCTTCCTCTGGGCAATTAGAGATGGGCAATAAATGCTGACCTAGTCAGCAACGCCCACATCCTGTGAATGAACGAAAGAAAGATGAAGTATAATGTGTATAAATGTGAGGTTATCCACTTTAGGAGCAAAAATAGGAAGGCAGATTATTATCTGAGTGGCTATGAATTGAGAGTGGGGTTCTCATACACCAGCAGGTGGTTAAGAGGCAATTGGTATGATGGCCTTCACAGAGAGAGGATATGAGTTCACGAGTAAGGATGTCTTGCTGCAATTATACTTGGGCGTGGTAAGACCATACCTGGAATATTGTGTGCAGTTTTGGTCTCTTTATCTAAGGAACGATGCTCTTGCAATAGGGAGAGTGCAGAAAAGGCTTATCAGGGAAGGTAATAGCCTAGCAGTATTTTTGCTGAACTAGCAAGTCAGGATAATGATCTCAGGCTTGTGTTCAAATCTCACTCACAGCAGATGGTGGAATTTGAATTCAATTAAATCTGGAATTAAAATTCTAATGATGACTATGAAACTGTTGTTGTTATAAGCTCATCTTATTCTGCTCATAAAAGGAACAAGAGGATATAGATTTAAGGTGATACGCAAATGAAGTAAGGAAAATCTTTTTCACTGAGTCAGTAGTTAGGATCTGGAATGCACTGCTTGGAAATGTGGTGGAGGCAAGTACAACTGAGGCATTGGATGATTATTTTTATCTAAATAATGTGCAAGGGTATGGGTATGAAAAAGTGGGAGATTGGCACTAGGTAATGATGCTCATTTGCCCATCAGTGCAAGCACAATGGGCCAAACAGACTCCTTCTGCGTTGTAACACTGCTGTAATTCTCTGTAAAGTTAACTTTGTTAATTTTGTATTCATTGTATGAGTATATCCAAATCTTTCTGAACATCAACATTTCAATGTTTCATGCCTTTTTAAAAAAATCTGCTATTCTGTTCTTACCATTAAAATAAATAACCTCACACTTTGTTATACTATACTTCACCTGCCACCTTATGGCCCATTCACATTACCTGTTATCTTTTCAACTAAAATCTAAAAACTAATATCTAGCTCATAATCTATCCACATAAAACATTAAACAAATATCATTGTTACATAAAAATGACTTTGTTACCTTCAGTCCAGTGCACTCTTGGTTGGCTTTCCATCAGTTCATAAATTTAGATTTATTCAACATCTGTTCACTCCTAGCACTTCTGTGCTCACTGCCTAACATTCATTCCCAGTCTTACAATGGCTTAAATTTAAATTTCATACTTGTCCATGGCCTCACTCCCTTCCTCAGTCTGTAATCTCCAATTTTACCATTGTCCAAGTACTATACATTCGTCCAGTTCCGGCCTCTTGTTCATTATCAATGGTTTTAACCGTACAATTATCAACCAAGATTTTAGCTGTCTCAGAGAAAGCTTTGAAATTCTCTTCCTAAACCTCTCCAATCTTCTCTTCTTCTCAAGAGCCAGCTCTTTGGAAAAGCCTGTCCTAAAATCTCTTTATTGATTTTGTTTAGGATCTAACAACTCCATTGTGGATAGCAGCACAGATGGGACACAATGATGTTGTAAAGCTATTGCTCCAGTGGGGAGCTAATTCAGATACTGCTCGCAAGGTTAGACCTCTCTCTTTGTTAACATTTTCAACAGAAAACATATGGTAAGTTTTGGTGAATGGGACTGGAGTAGTGAACAATGGTTTAACATCCATGTCAGGAGAGTTGCCACCCTCCAAGACTGTCTTCAGGGTGGATGGAAAATTGCATAATCAGTACCAATTTGTAATCTAAACATAAACTCTTTGAAAAACTTGTCTGGGAGTTTTAGTTCACTGATGATTGTGCCCTTGTTGTGAATACAGAGATACCAAGCCAATGGCTTATTTCTTGGATGCTTATAAATTCATAGAGTCATACAGCATATAAGAATGTTTGTATCTTATTAATATGAAGAAGATGAATATTATTTAAATAGCTCCACAGAGGCTGGTATCCCATCACCATTGTCATCCTTTATTTAAACACTAACAGTCCTTGACTTTTTGATTTCAACTTTCCGAACATAGACTGGGACTGCCGTAGTGTTAAGAGCTTGGATGGGGAGGAATTTGTTAAGTGTACAAGAAAACTTTCTTATTCAGTATGCGGATGTACCTACTAGAGAAGGAGCAATACTTGACCTTCTGTTGGGAAATAAGTAACTGAGGTGTCAGTGGGGGAGCACTTTGGGGAAAGTGATTATAATTCCACTGGTTTTAAAATAGTTGTGGAAAAGGACAGAACTGATCAAAAAGTTAAAGTTCTACACTGAAGTAAGGTCACTGCCTACCTGCATTCATCTATCACCATCCTACTTACTTTCCCCAGCCCCACCCCTCCTCTCTCTATTTATTTCAGAGCTCCCTTCCCCCTCCCCCATTTCTGAAGAAAGGTCCCGACCCGAAACGTCAGCTTTCCTGCTCCTCTGATGCTGCCTGACCTGCTGTGTTCCTCCGGCTCCTCACTATGTTATCTCTGACTCCAGCATCGACAGTTCTTACTAACCCCACAGGGAGATCACCTAGTTTTACTCAGTGGTCTCTGCACTTAGCAGCGAGCATGCTATCCACTGGTAAAGTCTCCGCAGCAGTGTTGTTTTGTCCTTAATTGGACACTTCAGAACTTCAGTTAGCCTCTGATCAGGAAGGCTGTCTCCACATTCCCTGATACTGATAAAATTCTATATAATCTGGAAACCACAATAGGTCCACTGCCTCCTTCTCTTGCCATTTTGTAACTTTCAGGGAGCACTCCCTTCACCATGATAAACCCCTCAATGATGCACCAAGTACCTCTGAAAGAAAGCAGCTCACTACCACCTTCTCAAAGGCAATCAGGGATGAGCAACAAATGTTGGCTTGCCACCAACACTCACTTCATATGAAATAACTTATTAAAAAAAACTAGACTTCATTTCTGGAGGGATAGAAGTGTAAAGTAGGAAAGCTATAGTTATTAGAATGGTTAGTGTTAATTTCATTGGATTACTAGTGGACCTGATTAATGTCCTGGGGACAGGGGTTCAAATTCTCCTTGGCAGCTGATAGAATTTAAATTCTATGAATAAAAATGGATTAATAAAATCTGGAATCAAAAGGTAGCCTAATAACAATAGTGAAATCACTGTTCATTGTCATAAAAACCATCTGGTTCACTAATGCACTTTGAGGAAGGATATACGCATCCTTAGGTACACCTGTGACTCCAGACCCACAATGATGTGGTTGACTCTTAACTGCCCTGTGAAATGGTCCAGTAAACAACTTAGTTCAGGGAGCATTTAGGGATGGAAAACAACTTCTGGTCTTGGCAGAAGTGCTCACATTTCACTACAGAATAAAAAAGCGCCTGTATTAAATTTGGTCAGACCAAATTTAGAGTGCTATCTACATTTCTGGCTGTGACATTATCAAAAGGGATATAGAGACACTGGAGAGTTTGCAGGAAAGATTTACAAAGATGATATCAAAATGCATAGCTTTACATATCAGGAAAGGTTTGAAAGACTAGGTCACTTTTTCTCTTGAAAGAAATTCTGAGGAATGATCTAATAGAGGTGTTTAATATTATGAAAGATTTTAGTAGAGTGGATGCAGAGACAATGAGAGCAATTTTCTGCTCCCAGAAATTGCAACAGTAATGGCAGCTGTGATGACATGATTTAGGCAGAATCCAGAACCAGAATCTTGCTGTTGAGATAAACTTTAGCAATTAAGTTCTCACTCCTCAAAAAGCAAGTCGAAATGCTGGTCATCAGATGGAAAGAACATAATATGCATATCTTTGCATCTCACTGATTGCACAGCTCTATGAAATTTGTTTCAGCTTCCTAATTAATATTTGATAATCAGGAAACTCAATGGTTCAGATACCTGACCACACAACCAAACCTAGAATACTGAGAACAGTTTGGTTCTCACACCTAAGGAAAGATGTACTGGCATTGCAGGCAGTTCAGAGAAGGTTAACTGGGCTGAAACTGGGAACGGAGGGATTTTTTTTGTGAGAAGAGGTTGAGTAGGTTGGGTTTGTATTCATGGAGGTTTAGAAGAATGAGATGTGACCTTATTTAAATATACATGAAGATTCTTAGCAGGTTTGACATGGTAGATAGATATGGAGACGTTGTTTCCCATTTTGAGAGCGACTAGGCCAAGAGGATGTCATCTTAGAGTAAGGGGAATAAGTTAGTAAATGACACTTCCTGTCAGAGAGTAGTGAATCTGTGCAATTCCTCTTTGCAGAGGGAATATGGAGATTTAGTTGTTAAGTATATTCAAGAATAAGATGGACCGATTTTTAATTAGTAAAGGAATCAAAGGCAGAAAGTGGAGGATTATCAGACAGGCCATGATCTCATTGAATGGCATAGCAGACTCAAAGGGCTGAATGGTCCACATCTACTCCTAATTACTATGAAGGAGACAGGGTAATACCCTGCAGATCCAGAGAGAGTAACAATCTTATAATGACCCATTTCCAGGATGCCTGAGCTGTCAGTGACATTTTCTTTATGCTATGCTTTCATTTATACAGTTGGCTATCAATCTTCTGCTTGTTATATGAAAGACTCTTCAAGGGTTGAATTGGATTTTCATTTGCTTTAGTCATGCAATAATGTATGACTTTTCCTTTATAGTTTGATTCTGATATCCTCAGCTCTGTAAAAGCAAACGTGCATGCGTAAACCTTGCCTTGGACCAACACATTCTGATTATCACTAAAGCAGCTGTGATACATTGGGCACTTATTCAACCAGGACACTCCTGCATAGTTACTTCAAAATTTTCAGTAAAGTAGATGTGAGTCACATCAGGATGCACCCTTCCTAGTGAATACTACTGAGTTCTCCCATATCCTGAGACTGCCCCTTACGCACCTTACACCATTACAATCCCTACATAGTGTTGCAGAATGATCCTTCACTGTATCCTTACGATTCCTGAATATCCTCACTGACAAACTACTACTTCCATGAGCTATGAAGTTTTGAGCTGTTTGTTCCACTTGGCTCACAGTGATAAGATTTTGACGTGTGATTTGGCCATTGCCAACACCACAAGCTTATAATTTATAGCATGGCTTTAAGAACCCCAGACATGGACTTAACCTTTTCCTCTTGGGGTCTGTAAATTCATGACTGATTCTGTAATCTCTCCAATAAGTTGCGAGAGTATGATCCTCCCAATTGAACATTTAAGACCTGATTTCTCCCCTAAATACTGTTGTTAACATCTATGTCCCCAAGAGTAATCTGGAGCACCTTGACTCCAGTCTTCAACAATAGGTGACAGTTGAGTGATCTCTAGTCAGTCAATTTACCTTTTGATGGTGGAGAATGCTCCACATCTTTCAAGAACGTTCTTAGCTTCTATTGGTATAAATAAGATTACAACAGACATGAGAACAGTGGAAGTAAACATACATTTTAAAAAGTGCAGTATACATTGATTGAACACCTATACCACCAATATACAAACATAGTTTGTACTTTGCTCCCCATCCCCCCACTATATCTAAGTGCAGGTCCAACTATCACACCTGGGGTATATCTGAGTGCGGCTTTGACTATCACACCTGGGGTATATCTGAGTGCCGGTCCGACTATCACACCTGGGGTATACCTGAGTGCGGGTCTGACTATCCCACCTGGGGTATATCTGAGTGCAGGTCCAACTGTCACACCTGGGGTATATCTGAGTGCAGGTCCGACTGTCACACCTGGGGTATATCTGAGTGCAGGTCCGACTGTCACACCTGGGGTATATCTGAGTGCAGGTCCGACTGTCACACCTGGGGTATATCTGAGTGCGGGTCCGACTGTCACACCTGGGGTATATCTGAGTCAGGGTCCGACTGTCACACCTGGGGTATATCTGAATGCGGGTCCGACTGTCACGCCTGGGGTATATCTCAGTGCAGGTCTGACTGTCACACCATGGGTATATATGAGTGCGGGTCTGACTATCACAGCAACTTGTTGACTGAAATGCCCATATGATTTTGAAGCGTTTGGTAGACAACGTCTTTGGCTCTGGCCCTAGACAGTACAGGCCTGTTAAGAGTATCCGGTACAGGTGCAAGTACATTTTTCTTAGCCTCAGCTGCTGGAGGCATTGTGGTCACTGATAGAGGGAAGATGGAGTGACAGGACATCTCTGGAATGTTCTGAGAATATGCTGCCGTGGGTACCTGACTATTTCATCTCCCTGTGGTTGCCTTCTAGCATCATGCTGCCACTTGGAGTGACACTGAGATGTCTCACTTTGCCAATGATGCTGAGTACCCATGGCTAGAGTAATGGAGTCCAGACCTAAGCACATAACTGGCAGCCACTGAGCATTCTGTTGGATTGGATCTACAATGTGGCCTCCAACCTTTCCAAGGATGGAGCCAATCACTTGCCTTCTGGAACCGTTACAGTAGTGAAAACACGGGCGGACTTATCCATCTACTCAGGTCTGTGAGAACCTCTGTTACACCTGCCTGGTGTTCCCCTGCCTCTTTCTGCAGGTTGACAGTGTCAGGGTCTTCAGGGCTCTGCAGGCATCAGGTTTCTGGCAGTCCTCTGAGTATGAGAGCGTTCCTTCTTCCATGGGCTGTGGACCTGTGTCTCTGATTTGCTCACTAGATTATATCACTGAGTCTAATCTAAATAGTGCAACCATTGATGTAACTGACTCTGTGCAGATGATTACCTTGGAGGTGGGCCCTCTAAGGATTCAGCGGCCTTGTCCTCTGAGATGGTGCTAGAGTAGAGGGGCTCCAGCGTCTTTCATTGTATATGTGTCCTTGGTACTGATGGTGTCCATAGAAAAGATAAAGGAGCTTTTGGTAAAGATACAGAATATCTCATGCAAACTAATACGTTTGCCTTCATGCACAGCTGAGAAGGACAGAAAGCAATGTCACTTCCTGGGCTGTTCATGTCTCCAACTTGCTACATGTAAACTCTTGATCTTTCCAACCAGCCTGTGCCTGTTCCTCAAAGCGGGTAAGGATCTTTATATTCAGCACCTTTCTGCTAATCCAGGCCCTCTCTGCAGTTGTGGGTGAGCTTGTCCTGCAAAAAGATAAAGAGAAATGTAGTGGCAAAAGATACAGGGGCACTTTTGTGAGAATGCGTAACAACGTAAAGTCATGAGCCATCCCCAGAAAGTAAGTAGGAATTGCAGTGCCCAGGAAAAGTTATTAGTTTGAAGCATGAATTGGGCATGAGCCCTTGAGTGCACATCATGTATGGGATCTTGAGGCGTGCAGGCAATGACCCTTTGTCAGGTGCCTGTGAAGTGGCACAGTTAGACTGAGTGATGCCCTTGTGAGTGTGAGCTAACAGAGAGATCATGTCACTTAAACTTAGGGAATGCAATTTTTTGGGGACATTGTGGCCATTTTTTGTGGCCATGAATGCTTCAGGGGGCCATTGGTTCTGACTGTGCTGTTATCTGAGTGTAATCTTGATGGAATTACCTATTGATGCCATGCTCCAGGAAGAGAATTCCCTTCTGCCTGTTACTCCATCCATTAAGAGCTGCAGACATGCATGGCTAAAGCACAGGGTAAGCTTCTGTATCTTCAGAGAAATCTTCAGTGAGGTTGGAGATGAGTATCACAGGGACCTTGGAAGTCCATGTTGGCAGAGGAATTCAATTAGTTCCTCAGCAAAGTAAATATGCCGAACACATATGTAATAATGCAGTTCAGGTTAAAAGATCTTGTAGGGTAGATAGAAACCATTTTCTCTGAAGGACAGAGTCCAAAACAGCACATCTGCCAATGTGGTATACTGCATCCGCTGTACCCGGTGTGGCTTCCTCTACATCGGGGAAACCAAGCGGAGAATCGGGGACCGCTTTGCAGAACACCTACGCGCGGTTCGCAATAAACAACTGCACCTCCCAGTCGCGAACCATTTCAACTCCCCCTCCCATTCCTCAGACGACATGTCCATCATGGCCTCCTGCAGTGCCACAACGATGCCACCCGAAGGTTGCAGGAACAGCAACTCATATTCCGCTTGGGAACCCTGCAGCCCAATGGTATCAATGTGGATTTCACAAGTTTCAAAATCTCCCCTCCCCCTACCGCATCCCAAAACCAGTCCAGCTCGTCCCTGCCTCCCTAACCTGTTCTTCCTCCCACCTATCCCCTCCTCCCACCTCAAGCTGCACCTCCATCTCCTACCGACCAACCTCATCCCGCCCCCTTGACCTGTCCGTCCTCCCTGGACTGACCTATCCCCTTCCTAACTCCCCACCTACACTCACCTTTACTGGCTCCATCCCCGCCTCTTCGACCTGTTTGTTTCCTCTCCACCTATCCTCTCCTCTATCCCTCTTCTATCCGCCTCCCACTCTCTCCCTATTTATTTCAAAACCCCCTTCCCCTCCCCCTTTTCTGATGAAGGGTCTAGGCCCGAAACGTCAGCCTCTCTGCTCCTATGATGCTGCTTGGCCTGCTGTGTTCATCCAGCCCTGCACCTTGTTGTCTTGGATTCTCCAGCATCTGCAGTTCCTACTATCTCTGATTGTAATCTTAAAATTAGGTGTGCTGTTAGGAACTACTATTTTATACAAAGGTCGTGGAACCTATCTCTCAAAGTGTCATTGTGAAATGGATGTCAAATAAACACTTAAAAACTGAGATTTATAGACTTTGTTAGGCAACAATTTTAAGGGTTATACTGCCAAGAGGTAGATAGATTTGACCATGATCAAAATAAAGGCACACGGCTGAAAGGCTGAATCTGGTCTCAATGTAACTTAATTTGAAGCCTGATGCAAGAAGGCATTATGTTGAACAGTAAACTCTCATGTGGGGATCAGTTCAAAGATATAAAGATTATCGACCAGTTTAAAAGAAATGTAGCTCTTCTACTGACAAATAGGAACATGATACTTGTGATGCACATCATTTTTATACATTCAGGTTGCTAGGCTACTGTTTATTTCCCATCACCATTTGCCTCGAGAAGGTGGCAGTGAACTGCTTTCTTGAATTGCTGTGGTATAGGTACATCAACATTGCTGTTAGGGAAGGAATTCCGTTAATGGGAGAGTTCCAGCAATTTGACCAAGTAATTATAAAAGAACAACATTCTAGTTCCAAGGCAGGATGGTGTGCAGCTTGCAATGGAACTTGCAGGTAATGGTTTGCCATGCATCTGTGCCTTTGTCCTTGGACAACCTTTAATGCATTTTCCTGACCTTGCAAACAGTTGTGCTGACAACTAATTAGGATTGTCAGTCACAATGTAGGCACTTGTATGTACTGGAAGGTACATACATTCATATATAGGATCTTGTTCTTTGCAGACAGAAAGAACATGTACACAAATTGAGTCTATTTCAAGTTAGCAAAATAAGTAACAGCCATTGTTTGTTTCATTTTCAGGGCAATGCCTTGGCCCATTAGTATCAGCCTATCTTGTTTAAAATTTAAACAAAGCATGGCAGTTAATTGTCAGTCATCATTAGCTGGTTCATCCTCTACCAATCAAACTTCTGTTTCCAACCAATCATCACTTTCCTCTCATACAGTATAAATATTGTTTTCTCTTACTTTGATATTTCATGCTAAATTATTCTGATCAGTGCAAGATGAACAGTTCAACAAAATGTGTATTTTTCTCATCAATACTCATGTTGTGTACTAACAAATGACAAATAATTATTCTTTTCAAAGGATGGCTCAACACCTTTATTCAAAGCTGCTTACAAGGGTTTTATTGAAGTTGTCCGAGAGTTACTAGCATGTTCTCCTTCACTGGGAATTCTTAAGGTAAAAACTGGAATATTATTATGTCAGTGTTGCTGCAAGAAAGTTTAAGTGGGGGAGCATCTTGGAATAGTGACCATAATTCCTTAAGTTTTCAGATATTAATGAATAAGGACAAAAGTGGACCTCGGATGAAGGTGTTAAATTGGGGGAAGGCCAACTATAAATGAATTAGGTAAGAATTAGAGAATGTAGATTGAGAACAACTGAGGGTAAACCCATATCTGACATGTCGGATTATTTAAGGACCAATTGATTAAAGTGCAGGATAGGCATGTTCCTGTTAAAATGGAGGACAGCAATGGCAGGATTCAGGAACCTTGTATGACAGAAATTATCAGCTTAGTCAAAAAAGGGAAACATACCTAAGGTCTAGGCAATTAAAAACAGACAAAGTCTTTGAAAAATATAGAGAAATTAGCAAGGAGTTCACATAGGGAGTTAGGAGTGCTAAAAAGGGCTATGAAATGTCCTTAGCCAGCAGGGTTAAGGGGAATCACAAGGCCTTTTATACATGTATTAGGAGCCAAATGGTAGCTAGGGAAAGAATAGGCCCACTCAAGGTTATGTATTGAGCCAGAGGAAATGGGTGAGCTCTTTAATGAGTACTTTAATTTGGTATTCACCAAAGAGAGATGTTGAGGTACCTTAAGGTAAACAAGTGCCCAGGGCCACTCAGGACCTATCGAAGGATACTGTGGGAAACAAGGGAGGAAATAACTGGGGCCTTAACATATATCTTTGCATCCTCTTTGACCTCAGACGAGGTTCCAAAGGATTGGAGAATGGCCGATGTTGTTCCTTTGTTTAAGAAGGGAAACAGAGATAGTCCAGGTAATTACAAGCCAGTGACCTAGTGTCAGTGGTGGGGAAGCTGTTGGAGAAGGTACTGAGATACAGGATCTATTTACATTTGGAAGCAAAATAGACTTGACAGTGATAGGCAGCATTTTGTGTGGGGAAAGTCGCACCAACTTGATTGAATTTTTTTGAGGAGGTGGTAAGAATGGTTGATAAGGGAAGCGCAGTGGATGTTGTATACATGGACTTTAGTAAAGCATTCAATGAAGTACCTCATGGGAGGTTGGTACAGAAGGCAGATTCTCATGGGATCAGGGGTGAGCTGGCTAGATGGATACAAAACTGGCTTGGTCATAGGTGACAGAGAGCAGCGATGGAAGGATGCTTTTCAGAATGGAGATCAGTAACGTGGTGTTCTGCAGGGAATAGTGCTGGGACCTTTGTTGTTTGCAATATATATAAACAATCAGGAGGAAAAAGTTAGGTGTTCTGATTGGTACATTTGGGGATGACACCAAAATTGGTGGAGTTGCAGATAGTGACGAGGATTGTCATACAATACAGTGGGATATAGACAGATTGCAGATTGGGCAGAGAAATGTCAGATGAATTAATCCAATCAAATGTGAGATGATGCATTTTGGAAGATCAAATTCAGGTGCGAGTTATAAAATAATTGGCAGAACCTTTAGGAGCATTGACATACAGAGGAATCTGGGCATACAGGTCCACAGATCCCTGAAAGTGGCCTATGATGGTCAAGAATGCATACAGCAGGCACGCCTTCATCAGCCAGAGTACCAAATATAAAAGTTGGCAGGTTATGCTACAGCTATACAAAACTTTAGTTAGGCTACTTTTGGAATTTTGCATTCTGTTCTGGTTGCCACACTACCAGAAGGATGTGGACGTTTTGGAGAGGGTGCAGAGAAGGTTTACCAGGATGTTGCCCAGTCTGGAGGGTTTTAGTTATGAGGAGAGGTTGGATGAAGAGACATAAATAGGGTGGACAGTCAAAGGCTTTTACCTAGGGTGGAAAGATCAACTGCAAGAGGGCACAGGTTCAAGGTGAGAAGAGGGAAGTTTAGGGGAGAAGTGCAGGGAAAGTTTTTCACACAGGGTACCTGGAACGCACTGCCAGTGGAGGTGGTGGAAGCAGGCACATTAGCAATGTATAAGGTGTATTTTGATAGACACATGAACGTGCGTCAAACAAGGAGATAGATACCACATATGGGCAATAAGTAGCGGGTATAAATAAGGTTTAGGAATTGACGCAGGTTTGGTGGGGCAAATAGCCTGTTTCTGTTCTGTAGCATTATTGTATTGTGTTGTATAAACAGTCCACTTCATAAATAGAAGATATTAGAAATAAATTTAGGAATGAGAATTGGTCATTTAACATAACAATTCACTTTCAACATGTGACAATAAAGTCTAAATCTAAAATCTTCTATTGCTTTACCAAATCCATCTACTTTATGTCTAATTGAATTGTGAAACATTCTAAATTGTTCTGTAGACTCGGAGTGGTGCCTGAGGACTAAAGAATCACAAATATTACAGGAGTTAAGAACTACAATCCAGTCAGTTTAACCTTGGTGATGAGGAAGCTTTTAGATATGATAATTCAGGACAAAATTAAGAGTTACTTGAGCAAATGTGGATTAATTAAAGAAAGGCAGTATGGATATATTAAGCAAAAAATAATGTTTAACTAATATAAAATAAAAACAAAAAATTTTCTGTGGAAAGAGAAAGAGTTACTGTTTTGAGCCCGAGATGCACTTCCTCAGAACTGAAATGGTGGGTTTTATATTCTGTTGGTACAGAGAAGGAGGAATAAGTGGAATAGATGGTAACAGTGTGAGGGTGCCAACAGTAACTGACAAAGGGAATGCTAATGGTGGTAAAGAGGCAATAGAGATATAAAATAGATTTAAATGATAGGTGTGAAAAGGAAAAATGGGTCCATTCTGCTGAGAGTGAAACAGAAAAAAACACATCCAGTAGTGTTGTACTAAGCATAATTTATAATGGGGGAATAAAGAAATGACAATTGAAGTTAACTTTGTGTCTGTTTTCACGAAGAAAGATACTAGAAATCTCCTAGAATTAAAAAACTAAGTAACTAGGGTGAATAAGGATTTGAAGAAAATAAATATTGGCAAATAAAAAAGTTGTACTGGAGAAATAAATTGTACTTCAAGTTAATAAGTCCCAGAACCTGATACAGGTAGTTCTCCTATAACGTGATAGTTGTGTTCTTGTGTGACCTTGAGCTATAGAAAATTGTGTTATAGCAAATTGCCATAGAAAATCGGGTTATAGGGAAATTGCTGTAGAAAATCGCATACCTGTACAGCAGAAAGTTTGCGTTCATCCAAACAGTGCCCACTATTCATCAATCACGTTATAGCCAATTCGCGTTAACAAAACACGTGTTATAGCAGAACAACCTGTAATCCACATCCCAAAATGTTGAAGGAGCTGCCTGTAGAGATAGTCGATGCATTGGTGATCATCTTCCAAAATTCTATTGAATCTGGAATCATTCCTATAGTTTGGAAGGTAGAAAATGCCACCCTCGCCATTTAAGAAAGGAGCAAGAGAAAAAAATAGGCATCCAAATGTAATATTTTCAAATTTGCAGATGATACAAAGCTAAGCAAGAATGTACTGTGAGGAAGATGTAAAGCAGCTTCAGGAGGATTTGGATGGGCTTAGGGAGTAGGCAAGAGCATGTCAGATGGAATATAGTGTTGACAGACGTGAGGTCATCCACTTTGGTACAAGAAACAGATGTGCAAAGTATTTCTTAAATAGTGAGATGCTATAAGTTGTAGATGTGTAAAGGGACCTGTTCTTGGTCACAATCCAGTTTTTCACCAACATCTAACCTCACCAAGTTAAATATGTCTCTGGGTGTTCCCTGAGATCTAATCTTGCTCAGTTGTAAACAGGAAATACTGCATAGGGCTATTCAAACCCACTCTCTCAACAGCACTAAAGTATTAAGGCTCAGAGGATCTTCTGAGCCCCTCGCAGCTTTTTAGTGGCCTCTATTCTTGTGACCAATCAAAAACTTGCAGGGCAGAATTGAATGTTGCCACCTAACTACTCTTGGAACTCAGTGTTTTGTAAATGTTACATGTACTGGACAGAGAAGGAGAAACTTGTTCCTGCTCTTAAGTGAATCAGAGGATGTGGATTTTAAGGCTTTTGTAAAAGAAGCAAATGTGAGTTGAGAAAAAAATATTTCATCCAGCAAGTGGTTTGGGTTGAATACCCTCCTATAAGTATGGTAGAGACACATTCAATTGAGGCATTCAGGAGGGCATTAGATCAAAACTTAAATACAAACAACGTGCAGGAGTATCGGGGAAAAGGCAGGAATTTGGCTCTAAAATGCTCAGACACAATGTGCTGAATGGCTTCCTCCTGCACTGTAACAATTCTGTGATTCTCTACTGGAAATGAATTTCATCACAGACCTCTGAATTAATTTCCAAGATAATTGGCTGCCCAATACTGGTCTTTTCAAAAACAGTCACGATCATGGCAGGGAACTAGAACAATGGATTGAAGGTTGATGGTCCACCCATAATCACTCTAGACCAATTAAAAATTTGGCCCATAGTTTCTAGGAAGTTATGGTTCTTGAATGCTACATCTAACAACACCACAGAAGAAGGATTACTGAATTAATTGCGAAGGGACAATTGTAAAACTACTAATGTTTGGAAAATTGTGGTCAGCATGCATCTGATTGTCTCATTTGAGCTGGCAGTGGAATGAAATCCCATGTTGGCAACATAGTCTTGCAAAAGTATTCCTTATAGATCAACATTATATAATCACATTCAAAGTATTCCAAGTTTAAAATAAGCATGTGTGGTTGATGATTTGCTTCATTTTCAAGTTCATTTGATTTTATTCTTATTTAAAATGTATTTCCAATATATATTTCTTTCTCCTTGAACTCATTCCCTTATGCTGTGCTATATTTCCCCAGTCAAGAAGGTTTGCAGCATTGGTGGTGATTTTAGAATAGAATCTCTACATGCAGAAAAAGGCCATTCGGCTTATCGAGTGTGCACCAACACTCTGAAGGGCATCCCAATCGAACCCAGACTCCACCTCATGCCTGTAACCCTGCATTTCCCATGGCTAATCCACCCAGCCTGCACATCCCTGGATGCTACGGGCAATTTAGCATGGCGAATTCACCTAACCTGCTCATCTTTGAACTTTGGGAGAAAACTGGAGCACCTGGCAGAAACCTGCACAGACATGGGGAGAAGGTGCAAACTTCACACAGACAGTCACCCAAGGCTGGAATTGAATGTGGGTCCCTAACGCTCTGAGGCAGTAGTGCTGATCACAAGTAATCATTTAACGTGATCTGTTAGATCATATTATGATTTAATTAGTGTTGTGTTGAGTTGCCTTGAACACAGAATGGATTATTAACTACTTTTTATTTGCATGAATAGAATGGAACAACAGCTCTCCATGCTGCAGTTTTAGGAGGCAGTGTCAAAACGGTGGGCCTTCTCATTGATTCTGGAGCAGATCCAAACCTAAGAAATACGGTAATAGGCACTTACCTTTTCCTTCTGTTTCCTGATGTTTGTAAAGTCCAGGCCTAGGAATTCAACTTCCTGTAACTCATTTTTCAGGTGTTAACCAGCCTATCAAGATTGCAATATTGGAAAAGCAGGAAGCACGTTCAAATTTCAGGCTGGAAGCAAGCTATCAATTAGTGAAATATAAACTGAAAATGTTTGAAATGCACAGCAGGCCAGACGGCATCTTTTTGTTACTCACTCATAGGATATGAGCAGTGTTATTTATTGCCCATCCGTAGTTGTCCTCGAGAAGGTGGTGGTGGTGAGCTGCCTTCTGGAACTATGGCAGTACATGTGCTGTCGGCAGAATCTGTGGAGAGAGAAAAATATTTAACATTTCAGATTTGCGACCTTTTGTGAGAAACTTCATCATTGGTGAAAGTGATCAAAGTTTCAGCAGCATATGTCAAAAGGCGGCAATAATTAAATTAACTGAAGGTCCTCCACTACCTGCAGGACCTACAATAGATATTAGATTGCCCTGGTATTTCACCTGCTATGTGCTAGCTAGCAGGAAGGCCCACCTGCCAGTGCTATTTAAAGGGATCATTTTATTTTTACAGATTAATTCCTGCTTTCTCATTTCAAGCTACTGGTCAATTTCTGTGACTTCTTTTTTGTAAGTTTTAATCACTCTGGAATGTTCATTCTTGCAAGCTGAAAAACTGTTACACTGTTCATGGCTGAATCAAAAATAGGTAGCAGTTATAGGTGGTCTCTTTGGGGTGGCTTAGGGGCAGAAATGTAAAGTAGGAGTAGCAACAAAGACACTGCAGAGCAGGATCACTTGGACGAGGAGGGCACTAAATGAGCGGTCATATAGTGAACAATCTACATGAATCTTGCTCAGGAGCAATATCTCAGAGCCAGTTGCTCGACTAAACTCTCCAATTCCATCCTCAAACCACAGAATTGACAGCACTGCTTGTATCTATAAAGGTCTGCATGTCTCTCAACCTTTACACCACAAACTTTTTTCACATTAATAGTTGACATTCCAAACCTCCAATACACAACTGTATCAGAGAAGTGACTGTGGTTGTCTAGACCAAGAGGAACACTTCCTTCACAAGTGACACAGGATGTAAGAGCACTAGATTTCACCCGCGTGGTAGACTTTCCCTGGATGCAGAGCTATAGATTAGATACATTGCCTTGGGTATTTCCCTCACCAGCCTAGCAAAATGGATTCCATTTCCTTAATTTACAGCTGATTTGTGATCACTGGCAGTGCAACTATGCAAATCTGGGCCTGCTTTATTCAGTTCTCAGCCCAGAGGCAATTCTGACCCACAGCACCTCGATCTCTACCACAGGTAGAGCGAGGAGGTAAGACCCGAATCTACTTCAGCTGGAATGGGGTTTAAAGCTAGTCTTGTTAAGGACCAATTTTATCCACATCCAGCCACCAAACCCTCTAATTTTTCATATTCATTTGTGGCATGTGAGTGTCACTGGCTTGGCCAGCATTTATTGCTCATCCATAATTGCCCATTGGGCAGTTAAAAGTCAACTGAATTTCTGTGGATCTGGACTCACATATAGGCCAAACCTGATAAGGACAATAGATTTCCTTCCTTAAAGGACATTAATTGACAGTGGTCACCAATAGATTAGCTTTTAATTCCATTTTTTTTTACTGATATCAGATTTCTCCATCTGCCATAGTGAGATTCAAACCTATATTACAGTAACATTAGCCTGAAATTCTGGGTTACAAGTCCAGTGATGTTACCCCTAAACCATCACCTCCCCTCTGTTTTAGTAACATATATTTTTCCAGGCATATTGCAGTCAGGAGCTATCTAGAGTAATGGTAGAAGCTCCAATTATCATTCCTTCAGATGGCTGACGAGGAATTTCCCCATATATTCCTCCTTGTTGGTGTACATTGAAAGGAACTGCATACGAATAGCCAAGAGATAGTAGGAACTGCCAATGCTGGAGAATCTGAGATAACAAGGTGTAGAGCTGGATGAACACAGCAAGCCAAGCAGCATCAGAGGAGCAGGAAAGCTGACGTTTCGGGTCTAGACTCTTCTTCAGAAATGGGGGAGGGGAAGGGGATTCTGAAATAAATAGGGAGAAAGGGGGAGGTGGATAGAAGATGGATAAAGGAGAAGATAGGTGGCCAACCTGTTTTGGTTAAAATATGATCATACCTTCCTCAAAAATCAAACTTTGGAGATGGACTTGAACCTGGAGTTTCTGACTCAGAGGCAGGTACTGTGCCTGAAAATCTCTAGGCCAGCTGTAGAAATATTAATCATTAAAATATTTGCTTTTGAAAGTAGAATTGGATATACACTTGAAGTTTTAAAAAAAAAAATTACAGGACAGTTCGAAGTAGGACTAATAGCATAGGTCTTTCAAAGAGCCAGCATAAGTGCAGCGGGTCAAAAGACCTCCTTTGTGTTACATGATTCTACATGCACTGTGATAAACAACTTCTTGCAGTATTACCTGGTTGTAGATGGACGAAGGAAAATGGCTGAAAGGACATGGAGTTATGTACAAACACAGAATGCTGGAGAAACTCAACGTGTCTGGCAGCATCTATGGAGACAGAAGTCCTCCAAACCCACGCAGCCCAATTCTATGTCCTTCCCAAAATCCACAAACAGCACTGCTCTGAAAGACTCATTGTTTCAGTCTGTTTCTGCCCCAGTTTCCTACCTTGACTCTATTTGTTCGGTCTGTTCCCACTTACATTTGTGATCCTCCTGATGCTTTATGTTGGTTCTAAATTTACAGTTTTCTGCCCCTAGCCACCTCCTCTTCACCAAGAATGTACAGTCCCTGTATATGTCCACTTATCATCAGAATGGTCTAAAGGCTCCCAGTTTCCTTCTTAACATGAGGCCTGAACAGTCTCCATTAAACACTACCTTCTTTTGCCTGGCTGAGCTTGTTCTCACTTTGAGCAACTTCTGCTATAACTCATCTCATTTACTTCAAGTCAAAGATGTGGTCATAGGTAACCATGTGAATCTCAGTTAAGCCAGTTCTTTTTGTGGCGTATGTGAAACATTCTTTGTTGCAGTCCTACTTGTGCTTGCACCCACAGCTTTTTCTCTGATACGTCGATGGGGCTGCTTCCTGTTCTCATCTGGAATTGGAAAAATTCATCAGTTTTTCTTCCAACATCCACCCTTCTCTCACCTTCACTTGGTCCATGCCTGGTTCTTCCCTTCCCTCCTTAACTTTACTGTTTCCATTTTTGGGGATTGGCTGTCCACTAATATCCATTGCAAGCCCGCTGACTCACACAGTTATCTTGATTACACCTCCACACCCTGCTTCCTGTGAGGACTCCATTCCATTCTCCCAGTTTCTACATCTTCATTGCATCTGTTCTGATGATGTCACCTTCCACTGGGCTGTCTCCAATATGATTGCCTTTTTCCTCAACCAAGGATTCTCCACCCTACTGTGGTTGACAGGACCTACTCCCACATTCTGTACTCACCCCTTCATTTCCTTCCCAGAATAACAATGGAGTTGCACTCGTGCTTACTTTCCACCCCACTAGTCTCCTCAGTTATAGAGTCATAGATAGAGAGTCATAGAGTCATACAGCATGGAAACAGACCCTTTGGCCCAACTTGTCCATGCCAATCAGGTTTCCTAAACTGAACTAGTCTCATTTGCCTGCATTTGACCCGTATCCCTCTAAACCTTTTCTATCCACATACTTGTTGAAATATCTTTTAAATGTTGTAATTGTACTTGCCTTTGGCACTTCCTCTGGCAGCTCATTCCATATATGCATCACCCGCTATGCGAAAAAGTTGCCCTTCGGGTCCCTTTTAAATCTTTCCCCTCTCACCTTAAACAAAGTTTTGGACTTCTCTACACTTGGAAAAAGACTTTGTCTATTCACATTATCTATGCCCTCAAGATTTTATAAGCCTCTATAAAGTCACGTCTCCAAAGATGTGCAAGTTAGGTGGATTGGCCATGTTAAATTACCCAAAGTGTTCAGGGATGTGTTAGTTAGGTCCATCAGCCATGGAAAATGCAAGGTTAGGGGGATGGATCTGGGTGGGATGCTCTTCAGAGGGTTGGTGTGGACTTGTTGGGCCGAATAATCTGTTTTCACACTGTGGGGATTCTGTGAACAATGAACGTCTCAGCCTCCTATGCTCCAGGGAAAAAGCCTTGCCTTATAATTCAAACCCTCCAGTCTTGGTAACATGCTTGTAAATCTTTTTTTGCACTCTTTCCATATTTTCCCTGCATTCAAAGGATCATCCTTTGCCATTTCCGTTACTTCCAGCAGGATGCTACCATCAAACACATCTTCCCTTCCTCTCCTCTGTCTCCATTCTGCAGGGTCTATTCCATCAATGACAGCTTGGTCCAATCCTCCATGCCTAATGTTTCCTCACCCACCATGATACCTTCCCATACAATCACTCAAAGTGTAACACTTGCCCATTCATCTCCTTCCTCCTCTCTGTCCAAGACCCCCAAAACACATTCCAGGTGAAGCAGTGTTTTACTTGTGCTTCTCTCAATCTAGTCTACTGCAGTTGCATAGTGCAGACTCCGTCACATTGGCAAAGCCAGATGGAGACTAAGTGATCATTTTGTGGAACACCTCCATTCTGTCCATAGGAATGGTCCAAACGTTCCAGTTGCTTGCCATTTCAATAAACCATCTTGCTGTCATGTAAACATTTCTCTCCTAGGCCTGCTGCAATGTTCCAATGAAGCACAATGCAAGCTTGAGGAACAACATTTCATTTTCCATTCAAGGACTCGAAGGCCTCGAACTTTGAATTCAGTAACGTCAGAAATTGGCTGCTTTATGTCTGCCCTCCATTTTCGTACATTCTCTTGACCTTCTCTTTCCTCAGAGCAGTGTCATGTTTGTATCTTGGTTACTTTGCACAGTAGCAAGAACTCATTCTTTCCATTTCACACCTTAATTTACACACTTTTTACATCTTTTTCCACTCTCCACTATTAGCAGCCTGTTTGTCTTTTGCATTGGGCCTCTACAGTGTCTGCTCTCTTGCTGTTCCTCTGCCTTGTCAAAAGGAGAAACAAACCTATTTTCCAACACCTTTCAGTTCAGAAGAAAGTCAAATGAACCTTGAAACATTAACTCTTGTTTCTGTCTCCATAGATGCTGACACTCCCAGATATGCTGAGATTCGCTGTGTTTTTTTCATTTTCCAGCATTTTCAGTATTTTGCCTATGGAGTTATGATTATTATTTTGATAGTTTGGTTATAAAGTTGGGGAAAAAGTTGATTTTTTTCAGTTCTTTAAAGATATGACCTGTGATGTTTTTAAAAAAGTCAAAACATTATCTTGAGTATTAAGTTCAAAACAACATCACAAAATCCTCCATTTCTGAAGAAAGGTCCCAACCTGAAATGTCAACTTTCCTACTCCTCTGATGCTGCCTGGCCTGCTGTGTTCCTCCAGCTCCACACTGTGTTATCACAAAATGTCAATTTCATTTAAATGACCAACTAGCCACCTACACACAGGTGTTTGCTGAAGTGAATTTTAGTGAAAGTGAATTTCACCAGTGAAAAAGAGAGCGCAAATGAGCCAGAACCAGGTTCATTAAGGGAACAGGCTCATAACATAGAGGTGATGTTATAAGTAGTTTCTAAGCAGTCGAGCCTGGGATGAAAACTCCAGAAGCAGAAGACTGTGGGGGTGTCAGAAAGGAAGGCTGTGGAAGACATGAGTTTAAGAACTCATGTTAAGTAAAGGTGAGCTGAGTTAACAGTTTGTTTTAAGTGTCCCAAGGAGAGACATTACCGAAAGAAAATAGCATCTAGTGAATGGCACCAATTTTCCAAAAGAAAATTGATTATTGCCATGCCAGCTGAGCAAGAAGCTTGTGAATGGAGGAAAAACAGAAGTTGCTGATAAAGCTCAGCAGGTCTGGCAGCATCTGTGAAGGAAAAAAACAGAGTTAACGGGAAGGGTCACCAGACCCGAAATGTTAACTCTGATTTTTTTTTCTTCACAGATGCTGCCAGACCTCCTGAGCTTTTCCAACAACTTCTGTTTTCATTCGTGATTTACAGCATCCGCACTTCTTTCGGTTTAGCTTTAGAATGGAGATGGGGTGAGTTTTGAGCATCTGTAATGACATGAATCTTTGTTTCTGATGTTTGTATTGAAATTGTTCAACTGATTTTTGTCTAGTGTAATATAGTTCATAGTTTTTTTTAAGAATATGCTTTCATGTTCTTATGTCAAAAGTATATTGACAGCCTCTTGTGAATACGTTCAGCGAAGAAGGTTACCTAAGAGTACAACAGGACCTTGATCAGATGGGCCAAAGGGCTGAGGAGTGGCAGATGGAGTTTAATTTAAATAAATGTGAGGTGCTCCATTTTGGAAAGGCAAATCAGGGCAGGACTTATACACTTAATGGTAAGGTCCCAGGGAGTGTTGCTGAACAAAGAGACCTTGGAGTCCAGGTTCATGGTTCCTTGAAAGTGGAGTCGCAGGTAGATAGGGTAGTGCAGAAGGTGTTTGGTATGCTTGCCTTTATTGGTCAGTGCATTGAATATAGGAGTTAGGAGGTCATGTTGCAGCTGTACAGGACATTGGTTAAGCCACTTCTGGAATATTGCATGCAATTCTGGTCTCCCTGCTGCTATAGGAAGGATGCTGCGAAACTCAAAATGGTTCAGAAAAGATTTACAAGGATGTTGCCAGGGTTGGGAGGGTTTGAGCTGTAGGGAGACGCTGATAGGCTGGGGCTATTTTCCCTGGAGCATCTGAGGCTGAGGGGTGACCTTATAGAGGTTTAAAAAATCATGAAGAGCATGGATAGGTCTTTTCCCTGGGGTGCAGGAGTCCAAAACTAGAGGGCATAGGTTTAAGGTGAGAAGGGAAAGACTTAAAAGAGACCTAAGGGGCAACATTTTCATACAGAAGATTGTGCGTGTATGGAATGAGTTGCCAGAGGAAGTCATGGAGGTTGGTACAATTACAATATTTAAAAGGCATTTGGATGGGTGTATGAATAGTAAGGGTTTAGAGGGATATGGGCCAAATGCTGGCAAATGGGACTCGATTTATTTAGGATATCTGGTAGGCATAGATGAGCTGGATGGAAGGGTCTGTTTCCATGCTGTCCAGCTCTATGACTCTATGGCTTCATCACTCAGGAACAGACCGCCATGGTAAACAAAAAGAAAAATAAAACTTATGATTTATCAAGCCAGATCTCACTCTGGGATCTAACTTATCAAGTATTACCATTAGCTGGGATTATAACAAAGGAAACGGGGCATACATGTTGCTGGAACTATCTGATCAAATGGAGGGTAAACAATAACATGGACTGGCCAGTTTCCACATGGTAACTATTACACATTGCCAATACTATATTCCATGTGTAATCTTCCATGACATCTGGTCCCCTCATGGGAAACCTGCTGCACTGAAATATCAAGTCTCGGTTTGTACTCTTTATTTCAGGCAGAAGAATTGCCAGCAGATCTTACAAGGAATGATCGCCTAATCAAACAGCTTCAATCAAAACAAAAGCGTGGAGAAAGCTGAAGATGTGGAATCAAATTAGGCTCAAGGCCCATTCTGACAAACACATCAGCGAACAGTGAGAACTGTATAATGGCACCTACTTCTGACCAGGGTCACAATTCTGTTGAGTGGTCATAAGGTTGTTCCATAAAACTTATTGAGCTATATAAAGGGCTTGCTGTCCATCTTTTTTTTATATTGTTGTAATTAAAAATAGAAATCAGGTGTGATTTTAGCCTTTTGATTATTTGATTAATTAAGAGCTGATGGCTAGAATTTCCTACTTGGCGTAGGCAATGAAATTATAAACATTAGAATAGAGAATGTAATTACACTTCTGCCTGAAATAACAAAGAAAACATACTCCCTGATATCTCCTGCTAATGGTTAAGTTTCCTGCCATAAATCTAATCTTATATCAACAGCCATTCAATAGTTAATCAATGGCAATGTTGAAATGATAAATTGTCATTTTACTAGAAAACATGCTTAAAATTTTCTAAGTACCATATCACACAAATAAATATGGAAGTTAGGTAAATTGTACTGAACCAAATAAAAATCTTTAAATTATTATTGTTGGATTAAACCAATACTGAACTGAAATATTACTAATATGATTACTTGGTTGGAAAATCCTCTAGGATTTTGAAAAGCATTTTTTGACAAAGTACCTTAATAGCATTAGGGTATCAGGGTAATTTGAGATGTCAGACGCAGGTTGTACCTGCCCTTTCACACATTGCTGCCGGCTCAGGTAAGAGTTTTTTTTACCTCAGCTCCTGTTTTTGTACTAACCCTTGATTCCCTTAAGTTCAAAAATCTAGTAATCTCAGTCTTAAATATACTCAACCAAACATCCTCAGCCCTCTGCAGTAGAGAATTCCAAACTCTCACAACCCGCAGTGTAAAGAAATTTCTCCTTTCCTCAGTCATGGAATCCCTGCTGTAAGGAAACAGGCTGTTCAACCAAGTCCACACATCACACCCAGATTCACCCCATCCCTGTAACCCTGCACCTCCCACGGCCAATCCACCCAACCTACATGTCCCTGGACACTATGGGCAATTTAGCATAGCCATTGCACCTAACCTACACATCTTTGGACTGTGAGAAGAAACCCAGAGTACCCAGCAGAAGCCCACACAGACACGGGGAGAATGTGCAAACCCCACACAGATAGTCACCCGAGCATGAATTCGAACCTGGGCCCCTAGCACAATGAGGCAGTGGTGCTAACCACAAAGCCACTGTGCCACCCTTTCAGTCAGGTAGAAATTTATTTGTTCTGTTAAACCAACACACAAAGGACTCAAGGAACAATTTCTACACCAAAATTAGTAATGTCCCAAGGCCCAATCAATATTGGATCTCAAGCTTCATTTTAATTAGACTGACCTGTTGTGAATAATTACCACAAATCTCAAAAGGCCCTCAGGCAGACCCTGTCATGTGAGTTGGGTTGATTGTATGAGAGGTGGTGACTGCAAACTGGAAAGCATTATTGTTACCCTTGATTCCATGTTAATATAAGTTTAAACACTTGTTAAAACAAAAACATATGTGCTCTTCACAAGCCTCCATTTGGATGCGCAGTGGAGAAAATAAATTTGAACTGACTCTTTCTTTTTAGGTGGTACTGAACTAATTTGACTCTGGCAGTATTACCTAACATCATTGAGCAAGTTGATTATCACATATGCTCTGTTGCCAATGACTTGTAAGTATTGGAGCTGGCTAAACTATGGGAATGGTGTGACTGACATCTTGGTAACTGATGGAACAAGGTACTGAAGATGAAACAATGGCAATTTGAGAGCCCATCAGTAGAAGCATCATGAACAGGCTCAAAGAAAAGGAAGTTGGAAGCTGCAGATAACAGGGGTTAATGACCTTTATATATATGTCACAGGGTCAAAATCCTGTAATTACCTCCCAAATGTCATTGTGGGTTAACCTACAGCAGTGGACTGCAATAATTCAAGAAGGCAGCTCACCAGTACCTTTTCAAAGGCAACTAGGCACAGGCAATAAATGTTGGCCAGCCAATAATGTCCACATCCCATAAATGAATAAACAAAATATAGCTTTAGTCCATGTGTCAGAAATCCGAATTAGGGGTCAATTTATCAGGATCAAACATCATTAGAACCACTGTCGGCACCACAGTGACTATTCATTATAGAAAGGTATCTAGTATCAACCAAAACTAAGTGTTAGACTCCTCAAATAATCTAATAATGCCTCTTTCAAGATCTTTGTCCCAAAATTGGTCACACCATAGGTCCTGCACAATCACTGAAATCACTGGTAGGCCATTCTGTTGACTTAAAATGTTCTAAACATAATGAACAATAACAAAAAAATACTTCATATTTTATAAGGATTGAGCCATGTTTTGTTGGATTAAATTTTATGCAGGCATTCCAATACATTTGAATAGTAAGATCTAACTCCAGTAATCGTAGGTTGTTTTTGTTTCGCAGACAAGCAACATAGAAATCCATAGACCCATGGTCTAAAGGATATATTTTGTTTTATTAAATTATGGGATGTGAGCGTCGCTGGCTGGCCAGCATTTATTGCCCGTTCCCTAGTTGCCCTTGAGAAGGTGATAGCGAGCTGCCTTCTTGAACCATTGCAGTTCACCTGCTGTGAGCTGACCCACAATGCCATTAGGGAGGGAATTCCAAGATTTTGACCCAATGATATAGGTAAAAGTCATTCTACCCTAAATTCTGTATCAATGTCTTTTTTTTCTTCTTTGAATTATCTAATCTTATCTATTCTCCTGCTAGGTTTCAAGCAGATATGTTATTAACATTAAAAGAATTTATGAATTCTGCTTCGATAATGATTTCTGACAGAGAATTCAGAGTTTCAAAATTGATTATCTTCAATTTTTATTCTGCCTTTACTAACTCATTGAACACTGCAAATATTCTTTGAAAAATATAGAGGATTATAATAAGGTATATAGCAATGAGATTATAGTGCAAGTATGATTGAATAAGTAACTGCAGAAACAGGTCCTAACCCATAAAACTGTTTGGCACAAAGCTCTTATAAAGTATTAAATATGAGATAAATGGCCACTTAATCAATTTTACTTTTGGTTGAATAAATATTGGGCAGGACAGTTGGGAGAACTCACCTACTTTTCTTTGAATATCACTATCATTTACCTTAACTGGAGAGCACTGACACAGCCTTTATTAAAATCAAAATGTCACGATGCTGGAAATCTGAAATAAAAACAGAAACTGCGAGAGAAGCTCAGCATGTCTGGCAGCATCTGTGGACAGAGAAACAGAGTTAACGTTTCAAGTCCAATATGACTTCATAAGTTCTGAAGAAAAATCATACTGGACTCGAAACATTAACTCTGCGTCTCTGTCCACAGATGCTGCCAGACCTGATTGGTTTCTCTAGCAATTCCTGCTTTTATTTCAGATCAGCCATTAGTCAACATCTCATCCAAAGGAACACTCCCTCTGACGGTGCAACAAACCCTTCAGCAGTGCATTTTTTATTCAAGTCTCAGGGTGGAACTTCAACCCATGACCTTCCAACTTAAAAAGACACTACATATTTGATATTTATATAAATAATGATAAAACGTAGCTGTTTTTCTTTGTCCCTAAATATGTTCAACACTTTTCAGATTGTAGTATTGTTTAACATCCAGATTAGATGTTTTTGCAATTGATAGTTGAAGGCTACAAACAGAATGATCTTCATCAGCCCCATTTCTGAAGAAAGGTCCTGACCCAAAATGTCACCATTCCTGCTCCTCTGATGCTGCCTGGCCTGCTGTGCTCCTCCGACTCCACACTGTGTTATCTCTGACTCCAGAATCGGCAGTTCTTACCATCTCTGATCTTTATCAGCCACTTTATTAGGTGTTACTTCTTTATTAGAGGTTCTCCAGGAGGACCAAGTCAGCAGGCTTGTTGGACTCTAGCTCTTATCTGCAATTTTTAAAAAATAATTCATTGGATGTGGTTATTGCTGGCAAAGCAAAAATTTATTTCCCCATCCCTAAATGCCCTGGAAAAGGTAGTGATGAGCGACCTTCTTGAACCACTGCAATCCTTGTCATGTAGGTACACCCACAATGCTGTTAGGGAGGGAGTTCCAGGATTTTGTTCCAGTAACAATTAAGGAACAGCAATATAGTTCTAAGTCAGGCTTAGAGGAGACCTGGTATTCCCATGTATCAGCTGCCCTAACCCTTCTAGGTATTAGAAGTCGTGAGTTTGAAAGGTGCTGCCTAAGGACCGTTGGTGAGCTGTTGTAGCTCATCTTCTAGATGGTCCATGCTGCTGTTATTGAGTATTATTGATGAAGTAAATCAAAGCAGAAGGTGGTGTATGGCGTGCCAATCAAGCATACTTTGGCTTCAATGGTATCAAACTTTTGAGTGTTGTTGGAGCTACACTGAACCAGGCAAGTTAAGCATATACCATCAGACTCTTGACTTGTGCCTTTTAGATAATAGACAGATGAGTCAGGAGTGATCATAAGATATAGGAGCAAAAGTAGGTCATTTGGCACAAGTGCACTCCACCATTCAGTGAGATCACGGCTGATCTGATAATCCTCAACTTGACTTTCCTAGCTTATCACCTGAACCGTTGATTCCCCTATACATGAAAAATCTGTCCATCTCATTCTGTCTATATGTGTTAATGAACCAGCCTTACCAGCCCTCTGTGGTAAAGAGTTACACAGATTGATTACCCACAAGAGAAAAAAATCCCTCATCTCCATCCTAACTCAGCGAGCCCTGACTCTGAGATGATGCTCTTGAGTCCTAGATTCTCCCAAAAAGTGAAATAACCTCTCTGCATCTGCCCTGTTGAGTCCCCTAAAAATTGTATATGTTTTGGTAAGATCTTCTCTCATTCTTCTAAACTTGGATGAGCACAAAGCCAATCTACTAAAGCTCTCCTCTTAGGAAAATCCCCCCCACGTACCAAAAATCAATCTAGTGAACCTTATCTGGATTGTTCTCAATGCCAATATATCTTTCCTTAGAGAAAGTACCAAAACCGTGCTTTGTATGGTTTTATCAATACCTCCCTATTTTTATACTCCATTCTTTTGGCAACAAAGATA